CCATTTACCATTTACCATGATATCATCCGACTGTTGTACGCGGGGATGGGAACTGATCTTATTAACACCTGTGTCATTATCCATTCTGCTCATTGGTCCGATTCTTTATCGATTCCTGATCAGTCTTCTGTGTGGGAGAAAGTAGACATACGCAGGTTTCAGAATCAGTACGGCGGTTTTATTGAGTCTGAACTCAGTGTAGAAACTCTAGAGAGAGTCAGGTGTGCAAAATCTCCTCTGTTTAACCCTTTAATATAATGTTATTATAATGTAGGATATTTACTGTCAGTAGCGGACAGGCGGCGCCGTTAGGAAGCCGTGGCACTGCTGGCTCAGACCGAGGCATTCCTGGAATTCAGGCCTGTGTTGCACAGAAAGACGTGTCAGCATATTGCTCATGTTTACAGACACTGTTCATCTTTCGTCATGACGTGTTGGATCATTTCTCCCTCTCCGCCAGGACTCCTTCCAGCAGTGTAGACGAGTTTGACGTTGTTGTTTTTAATCTGCAACTCTCAGAAAAACCCCAGCATCGATTAAAGAACCTGATCAGATCAGAGACCTACAGTTCTGATAGATCAGACTATTTGAACCAGATCTGGATTCCCATCCCTGGCTGTACCTGGTAGCTTCCTTTCATTAACGTGTGTACTGTCCAACACAGACCAACAGGGTTGTGTGTGCTGTTAATATCCGTGGTCAATGTGATGGTTTACAGAGAGCGGATGCTGTTTGGTAGAGACTCCGTCCGTCATGCCGACCATTTTTATTCCCACATTGTTAAGAGTATATCTGCATTACTCAGAGATATTATTGGGAAGGCAGCAGGTAGAATAAAGAAAGTGTTTATGATGGGCTTAGTGGATGAAATATAGAGGGTTGTATTTAGTCCTGACATAATACACAGTGTGTTGTACATGTGATATAATGTATAGTAGTGCAACACTGTAGGAGTGTGTGTAGATAGATCCTGGCTGGGTGGGCGGGGGGGGAGGCGGGTTCTGTCTCAGGGTCAGGAGGCGTTTCCTTGACTACAGTGTCGCAGCAAGAGGAGCGCCCCATCAGACAGATCCTGTACCTGGGGAACCTGCTGGAGACGTGCCACTTCCAGAGCTTCTGGGTACGGGGCACACACACACACACACA